TCTGAATATATTGCTGAGAGTGATGGTATGCACATCTCTATGAGCATTGCACCATCAGGATTTTGGGCCTCTGTCTCTGCACTGTTTGTATTTCCTTCATAGAGCTAGCCCTTGATAAAATATGCCAGCTTGCCAGGCTGAATTGTGTTCTGCATATGACCCCAGAGGAAATTAGGTCGCAGGGCTGTTCAAGCCTCATTTCTACACCTCTAAATGAGATTCTGAAATGGAGGGGAGGGGGGAAAAACCATTTGTCACTGTGGAAACAAAAGAAGAGGCAGGAGTAACAGACCCTGAATGCAGATGAGACACTTTTTCACATGGGACTAGACAATTTTCATATTAATTATTTCTCTGTATTTGTATAACATCATTTGCCTTCCTGTTTTGTTTTTAGAAGCCAAATATTGGTGATGTGGGAATTATGCAGATTTCCAAAGGAAACGCTAAAACCAGCTTGGTTAGATAGGTCATGTTATGCAGCTTTATAACAGCTTTATATATGCTTAAACAAAGCTGAAATCCTTTTTGACCTGCACTTGATGTCTTCTATATCATATTTGACACTGAGGGGAGGGAAAAAGAGCACTGAGAAATAAATATAGAAGTATTATAAATCCTTTTGCCAGGGCTGTAATTACACATGGTCCTCTTTCAAAACACAGATAATACACATCCCTGGCCTCAAAGAACTTGCAGAATAAGTCAATTCAAACAAACACCAATACACTTTTAGCTTCTTGCCCAAATGTGGATGCAAATCAGGCACTCTGAACCACTCCAAGAGAGCCTCATGAGCATTGCTGATGGTTTCTGGGGGCACACATGCACGTGCTCTCTCTCGGTGGAATAATTCCAAGTAAAAGTGCTGCTGTTGCGCTTCCTAGTGTTTCTGAAATGCAGGTTTTTGAACAGCTGAGCTACCTCATAAATTAGAGGGAGATCAGCCTAAGATGCAAAGTATTCACATGTTGAAATTTGATTTTTCTCAAAGGTGGAGGCTGTCTGTATCTGGCAGTTTAGTTTAAGACTGTAACTGTCACTAAAGTACTTGGATAGAGAAGATGTAGATGGAGAGAGTGGGATATTTTTAGACTATGGTGCATAAACATTTCAGGCTTCCCTGTCCTTTCCCATCTGAATAATCTTTTTGCTGCACTCCCTCAGACTTAGTGACAGCTCTTATTGAAACCTTTCCCTGCTCTCCCATTCTCTTAAAGCTACATAAATCTTACATGGACTTAATCTTTTATATACGAAGCTCAGATTTCTAACATAAACAGCAAGCAGCTACCTCCTATGCTGTCATTTGCTACTATGCCTCTCAGCTCAATCCAGGGCCCATAAAATGGTAAGGAAGTACCTCAACTTTCATAAGCATCTCAACAGTACCATCAACACATCAAACAGGAAAAGTGGCAAGGTGGCATCTTTCCAAACAACAGTAGGAGAGCCCTGGGCAGTGTTTAGTAATTATCTCTAACTAACTTCTGGAAATTCTGTCTTGGGATTACCCTAAGTGCAGGCATCTTCCCATCCTTTTCATTTATTTCCAGCAGGATCTGATCATCTGTTCACTTGCTCCACTTTGACTCATGCCAAAGCCAGTTGCACCATAACTAGCCCTGCAAGGATCAATGCTGGATGCAAAACTGGAGACAACATCCTTAATTAAATGATATGTGGCTGAGTGCAGCCCTGTCGGACACTGACTTATTACTTACTGACATTAAGTCCTGGGTCTCTATATGGCACCCTGTCCACACAGAAGATAACGAATGCAACCACTAGAACCAAGACTCCTGTGTTCCTAGCCTGCTAATATTTACCCTTAGAGAAGTGGGGAAGGACTTAGCATTCATGAAAGAATTCATAGCTAATATTTTGATATTTATAGAGCTTGCATTCTACAGCATGAACCAGACATGTGGACTGTTAGCTCACACCCTCTCCTCCTGAGCTATAGCAGGTAGAACCAACACGAAGGTTAATGATTTGCTCTTGGCTCCTAACCTTCCTTCTGTGCTACCTCACCCCTATGCTCTTACATTCACACACCCCCAGCTGTGTTTTCCTCTTCCAGTCCTTTGGTTTCTGAACATTATTTTGTCATATTATAAACACTAGCACTGGGGATTATAGGGCCATTTGAAGAGCAGATCCTTGCAGTAGCTGTGAATAAAATTGTCATGTTCTCCATCAACTCCAAACTCCTAAATTTGACCCCATCACTGCAAAATAAAATATTTTTCTTGAAGCAACCTGGAGAGAAATAATTAAAAATGAACTGAAAACTCTTCCATCTGGCACATTATCTTGAAGGCAGATGAAGGATGAGTTAAACAAAAAGGGGCCTTTCTTGAGATATAGTACTGGAAGGGAGGGAGAAATAGAAAAGAGCGAGAAGATGATGAAGCCCATCCTTTCTGTTCATCTGTGGAACTGATGATAATCACACCAAAATTAATTTGGTGCCCTTAACTGGGCCTGAGCAATTATAATCCTTGCATCTTACGTGTGCTGCATATTTATTGCTAAAGGGATTAAATCTAGGGGGTTTATGGCCCTATTATCTTTGTGTGGCAGTGTTCAAAGAATGAAAGATGCAAGAGTGAAGCATGTAAAAACTGGAGATGGGCCAAATCTGTAATCATTTTCTTCAAAATGCCTGTCCCCTTAAATGGTTGGGCTTGTATAAATAGGATCTCCCTGCAAAATGCCCCAGCAACTGAGTTTAGGTTTGGCAAACTGAAATCCAGCAAACTAGAAACCTGATTATGTCTATTTCTACTTAACTCTTTTCATTGCTTAATCATTACAGTGAAAGTTCCATATCTACAGTCCAGAGACAGGTGTTTAGGGAGGTGACTGTCCCAGAGGCACAACCACAGGGGAGTTAGAGACCCCCCCAGGGGACCCTGGGACGGGGGCTACACACCCTGGGAAAGAGAACCCCAAAAACAAAAGCTACTTACTTGCCATAGGATGCCAGACACAGGAGGAACAGAGAGCAGAGCCAGTGCGGTTCATTAGCCACGCTTATATCCAGCTGGAGCTGGCAGGTGATGTTAGGAGCAATCACTGGCCAGTGGAAATAAAAAGGATTGCTGGCGTAGGAACAGAGAGAGTGGGGGAGGCTGCAGAGCTGCTCTACACTGGGGCAGACAGCCCTGGCACGAAGAGGAAGATTCTACTTGGGGAAAGGCACCCCAAGTGGCCAGAATTAAAAGACAACCCCACACTGGTCACAGGCAGTACCGGTGCCAAGGGGAAGATCACGTTCCTGAAGGAGCCCTAAAAACCCCAGAGACACCAGATACTTCACGCTCCAGGTTCCCACAAGCACAAAGCCGAGAAGAAGGTCTAACCCAGGGAGCAGCGAAAGGTTCCCTCGGGGATGCCACCTGACCCAGGTTCTAGAGTGGAGAGAGAGGGAAGGAGCAGCTTAGCCTGACCTCTCTTCTTCCATCTGCCTTCCCTTCTTTTCTTTCATTAAGTCCTTCTTTTTCCTTTTGCTGCTGCTCATTGATGTATAGTTCACTTTTTGTTGCTTTTCTTGGCTTGTCTTTTTCTTTGCTTAATCCATCGTTAGGTCCATCCCATAGGAGTCCTGACCACCACCTCAACACAAGAGGTGCTTATGAATCTCAGCGAATAGCCAATGACAATGGAAGGGATAGATGAGAGAGAGAAAAATTCTGCAGACCTGCAACCTGCTAAAGAAATGAGGTCAAGAACCAGCCCTGGAGAGGGTGTAAGGATCTGAGATCATCTAGACTGGAGGGATGGCCACATTAAAATCAAGTGGCCCACCGGAGGTTGGCTTAAGGAAGGGGTGTAGGGGAGATGAAGCCCCATGAATATTCGCCAACAGGAGCGGCCAACCCTGAGGGACCTACAAGAGAAGACCCCTCCACTGAAATTACACCCAAATTCATGGCAGGTGAGTTCAGGGGCTTCCTCTGGGGAGATTGAGGCCCCTCTCAGTGGTCACTCAAACCCTTGCCACGTCCACCATCAGGCGCTCGTGATAAGGCGGCTCGCAAGCGGGTATTTAAAGCTAGGCGGGCACAAGGACATAAGAGAAAAGGTAGGTTTGTTAACCTTTGGAGAAGAGTAGAACAACAAATGAAATTGCTAAACTCTACACTACCAAACAGTATCCCATACTAGTGAGACATTTGTCAAGTGCTACAAGGGATTATTTCCTTACAAGCAGAATTTAATAAGAAGATATTAGAAAGAAACTTCTTAGCTGGTAGGCAAAGAATCTACACTGAGATTCTCAGAAGCCCTTCATCACTCAGCATGGATCTGTCCAAGTCCAGGTCTTCTCAGCTATGAGTGGCTTCTTTTTGGTGTTATGCCTCCTTCTCCCTTTCCAGATCAGCCTCAGATCTTCCATGTGTTCACCCAAATGTATTCTGAAAGCCACATATTCCCAAATCAGCTCAATTTCATATGAGACTCATTTTCCTTAACTTGAAAATGAGAGGGGCTTGAATGGTGTGTGTGTGTGTACGCACACGTGCACACACACACAAGTTCTTATACAGATTATTAGCCAGATTCAGTAACGAGACTTCAGAGCACCACATGGATTTACACCATCTGAGATCTGACCTTCGAGTGTTCAGTGTAGAGGTCCTGTTTCAGCAAAACACTTAAGCAAGTCCATCCTCTTTCATCAAAGCTGAGACTTAAGGCTTGCTTAATATTGAATGTGTGCTTAAGTATTTGACAAAATAAGGACCATATACTAGAAGTGGAAGAAATACAAAACCAGGAAATGATCATTAGGGGCTTGGGAAACCTTCTATGCGAGGAGAGATTAGAAGGATTAAGACTGTTTAATGTAGACACAGTGCAGGCCACATGGTTCCTGTGCCGCATAGGTCTTCCTCCTGTTCCCAGTTCCCCATCTTGCTCTCCTGCCATGTCTTTTATGTTCTGCCAGTGCACAGGTCCCTGGGAAAAGAGCCTTCCTAGTTAGGTGTGACACTTCTCATAGCTGAGACCCCTAAGAGTCTCCTGGTGCATTGTCTGCTGTGGCTGGTTTTCTTGGCTTCTACATCTTTTTCCTAAATCTCCATTTTTATCTTTTAGCCAGGAAAAGCCCTGGCTAGTACCAGCTAACTTTCTGTCCTACTTGCCCAACTTCTCCAATCCTACTTGCTGCCAGGTTCCCTGGCAGGAGCCCTGTTCTTCTCCACTATCAGAGCTTTTCTTCCCTTTGTTGCTGAGGCCCTTCCCTTCTGTGTCTCAGAGCCAGGGCTTCAGCCTGTTCTCATTCTTTTAAAAGGGCCCTTCCCTTTCTTCCTCTTAGTGGGGACTAAAGGGGTCCCTGTTACACACCATTTTTTGTTAACTAAGAGGACATGGCACAGCCCCAACTATGGACTTTACAGACTCTGCGTACTGACAAACATGGAAAAATACCCCAAAATGCATTTTACCAGAAGTAGCAGTGCATTACTTTGGCCTGGTTCCTCAGCATCTGTGTAGATGGGTGCTTTAGTGTGGCTTTTTGACACTTTTATCTCAAGCTGATTCAATTAGCTATTAAACAAAAGTACCAAAAAAGCCCCACTAAAGCACTCAGTCTATGCCACCGGTTCCCAAACTGACAAATTGTGCACCACCAATTTAAAATGATACAACCTTAAGTACCACCAGCAAATTTTTCAGTTCAACCTTAAGTAACACCAGCAAATTTTTGCCATATAAAGTAATGATAATAAATCTGTTAATGCACACCACTGACAGGTTGTCTGCGTACCACTGGTGGTACCCGTACTACAGATTGGGAACCATTGATCTGTGCAGATGTTGGGAAAGCCAGACCCAACTAATGTGATGCCTCTTCTCGGCATATGCTGGGCTCGGCACGGGAGCACTATGATTTTAAAATAAAGTGCCATTTTTTTCAACATCTGCAAGCAGCCTTTATGTCATGGAAATGTGGGTGTTTTTGAAAAATGTATCTAAGTAAAAGGGAAACATGAATAAAAAAGACAAGATAATGTAAGTTGTACAGGAAGTGAGTTTCACATTCTTATATACTATGTTTAGAAGAACAATGGGACACTCAATGAATTTAAGGGGAAAAATGTAAATGTAAACAGAATTAAAACTGATTTTTTAAAAAAATGCTTTTTTACACAACACAGAGTTAACTTGTAGATGTCCAAGTGGGTGGAGGCCAGATACACCCACTTATGAACAAAGTAGAGGCCTTGAGGACCTATCTCCAACCCACAACAAAAAGACAAGTCTGAGCCTTCCTAGGATTAGCAGATAACTATAGAAAATATATTGCAAAATTTTCAGAGATAACAGCACCCCTTTCTGAACTCACACATGCACCTAAGGAAGTATAGTGGTCTCTGGAAGCTAAACAGGCCTTCAAGAGGGCCAGGGAAGGCTTGCACCGTTCCCCATAATACCCCAGATTTTGATGAGCCATTTTTGGTGCACACTGATGCATTAAATGTGATCAAAGGGGCAGTGTTACCTCAAAGAAGAGAAGAAATGGAATTTTCTATTGCCCATGTAAGTTGGAAACTACATCCACAAGAAAAAGCCTATTCCACAATCAAGAAGGAATGCCTGACCATTAACTGGGCTGTTGAGATGTTCTGGTATTATCTGTTAGGCTAACAGTTCACCATTATCATGGATCACACCCCATTGTATTGATTACAGTGAATGAAATGGACAACATGAGGTTTGTGAGGTGCTCTCTTAATATACCACCTTATTATTTCTCAATAGAGCACTGGCCTGGGAGACATAATAGGAAGGCAGACTTCTTGTGAAAATATGAAAAGGAGGATGCACTATGAAGAAAAGAAGAGAATACATTCCCGTGACAAGGGAAGAGGGAAGGGCAATTTGTAATAGGGAACCCTTGCCCTATTACTGCAGGAAGGCTACAGGGCCAACAGGATCAGCAAGGGCCTTTTAAAAGTGGGGTCTTTGTGGCCTGGGAAAAAGGTAGCTGCTACATCCACTAGCTCTGCTCTGGGGAGTGGCTGCATGCTGTGGAGAAAGCAGCTGAAGGGCAGGCAACTGGCAAGGCTGAGACCAATGAGCAGCCCCTGTACTTGGACCAGGCAATTAGTCAGGCTGACCAGAGAAGGAAGCACTCGAGGGAGTAAATAGGCTTGCTCTCAGGCTGGAGGGGTATTCTAGCCCTGGCTGGGGAAGAGGCAGGGCTCCCAGGCAGGTAACTGGGGTGGGGGCTAGTGAGTAAGGACTGGCGGGGGGTGGTTTCCTTTGGCTGGTTCATTTTACCCAGCCACAGGACCCTGAAGGGATAAAGGATTTCAGTACATGTTGGGTTGGTTCACAAGTGCCTGGAGGTGTCGTATTTTAGTTTGGAGCAGTTGCTTACATTGTTTGTTTCTATTTTACTGAAGGACTGGAAGTCACTGCTAGGAGAGGGGGAGATTGCATTGCAGGCACCTTAAAGCACCCTGCAAAATTAACCTCTTGTTAGTGAGAGAGTTGTACACAGAGATCAAGAGACATGGCAGATGGCATGCCACCTGTAGCATGATCACACTATGATTCTCATTCTTCTTTAAATCAGAACAAACAATTTCAACCAGACTTTTCCTGTTTTCATATGAGCCAGTCAAACAAAATTGATTTAGAAATTTGTAACCATTCCCCCACTTCCTCCCGGCTCCTTCCTGCCCCTCAGACACTTGTTCAAATAAAGAGCCAATTTTTCCTGTAATCAAGGACAAAATCTGGTCCATTTGCCAGGAAGTGAGTATCTTAGTACCCTGGTACTCTATATGCTACAGGCGCAGTTCAGTTTACTTGTGCTCACTCATCAAGGAGAACTGATAGCATGTCTCCTTCTCTCTTCCTCCAAGTGGGTGTAACAAGAGCAGTTGTTGGGAAGAGTTCCTTACTGCACAATGTTGCCAACAAATGGTCATCATTTCTATCAACTAATTGCTTCTCTTTCCTCCCCATCCTGACAGACTCCCTTGAATAATTCACCCCCCTACAAGGTCTTGTGAACTTGCATTTGTCATGAATCCAAAGATGTTGTGTGGTGGGATGCTTTGGGGGCTGTGACCAGTGAAGAGAGGGGATACTGTCCCTGGGGTCTTCAACTAGGGGAACTTCATGGAGATCTCTGGTTGAGGAAGCTAGCTGTGACTTAAGAGGAAGCTAAACCTGGGCAATTTTCACAGGAATTTTTATGAGGGCTAACTGGTAGTCTGAATGTAATACAAGAGTTTTGCTCGTTTTGTTTTACATACTCTGTTGCCAAAGTGTTTGCCACTTTTTCTTTCTTATATCATTTGTTCTGCCTTGTAATAAATTCTTGTTTTTCTGTTACTTTACTGAAGAGCCTATGGTAAATCACGATTTCCAGGCAAATTAATAACCCGGGCATACGCATTCAGCAAAGTGATAAATAAGTTTACACAAACTCAGGGTGTATCTCTGGGAGCACCCCGGGGTTTTGTCACAATATTTAAAGGCACTGATTCTCTCTCTCGCAGTGGCTAACATTACTGGGGGAGAACAGTTCTAATGTTTCCCAGAATCCAGCCCTTAAAATATAATCCCCAAGTATTTCTGTCTAGTCAAACAATTTAATTTTTCAAGTTAAAGCCAAAATCAATCAGACAAAGTGGTCAGGAGCTTTTAGCAGCACATTTGTCACCTTCTCCCTTCTCTTTGATGGTTACTGGTCTTTAGATGATGGAGGATTTTATTTCACCAGTAATCAAGTTTTGCAAGCTTCAGGCTTGTCATGCGTGAGGGTTCTCTCCTGGTTTACTCTGCATATTTCTGAAGTGTTTTATTGTGCTTCTTGAAGGCTTTTTTTTTTTTTTTGCACATCTTTATGCATCTCTTATTGAGATCAATGTATCTCTTTTTGAACTTGTGCCCTGGGGAAGAAGGTTTTGAGCAAATTGTTTTATTATAAATAGATGCATCTTTCAGGCTCATTTAGTTGCTTTCTGCAAACATTTGTACATGGTTCCCACTCTGCTAGGCATTCTAGCTTTCTGAGGAAGAAAATAGTGGGCTTTACACAAAAAACAAGGCCCAGTACAGTATTTTCTATTTGCTAACTCAAGTTCTCCTGCTGTCTTTTGGTGCTACAATCATGCATGTTATCATAATAAGGTAGGCACCTAAGCTCATACAGTAAACATTTCTCTGAAACGAAGCCTGGTAGCTACAGAAAAAAAAATTGAAATGTTTGCTGCTCAGATGCTCTAAAAATACAAGAAACCAGCATGGTACAATCAATTCTTATTGGTAGAAAAAATCTGTTTTTAGCAAGGCTGACAACCTATATATTCATACTTAACTTGATGCAATTTAAAATGGGCAAGTAAGTGCAAAGATAAAAATAGAGCTTACAATGGAGGGGCTGCTGGACCTTTGCTGAAAACACTAATTGGCTTGACAGTGCAATGAGGTAATTGGCCCAGGTCCTTGCCCAGTGTTAATCAGCTTAAAACTCCATTTAGTTTAGTGGGAAGTTAGATTTATTCTGTGCCCTTTTGAAAATCTTCCCTTAGCTGCTTTGATACACATGTTAAAAGAAGGTCAAATTCTGCTCTTGACAGCCCTAGTGAAAACCTAGCTTTATTTCACTGACTTCCATGGAGTTATGCCTGATTTGCACCTGAGTAAGCAAGATGAGAATTTATCTCCATAGACTCTGGCTGTAATTATTATTATTATGAACATGGTTACTCTTGTGAGCATTTACAGTACTTTGAAAAAAAATACTTGGCAAGCCCACTGTTACAGAATGCTGGGTTTGCAGTCCCAAAAGGATAAAGCGTCATCTTTTTCAAGACATTCATAATTTTCATAGCCTTTTTATGAAGATGGAATAATTTTCATGAATCAAAAGAACCTTCAGATATATCTGAATAGGGAATCAGCTCAAGAGATAGGTATATAGAAAAGTAATGGTGGGTGGGGGGAACAAGGTTCATATCACTCCTGAAAAAAAGCCAAAACAACGTTATTAAACTCAGAAATACTGATGCTTATAGTGCGATCTTTGGGCCTCTGGGAAATCATGAGGTGCTGTAAAGCATTCCTGCGGGTTATACTAGATTGGAGGAATTACAGCCATCCTTTTGAAAACCACCTGCTGGCAATAAGCACGAAGCTGAGGAGAGAAAAAAATTGTGTTCCTTGTTCTTCCTTTTACTGAGGCTTTCGTTGTGAAAGCTTTGGGAACAGCTCTATCCTGAGCAATTCAAATGACAATTTGCATTTCAATAGCTGCTCTTGGGTAATTAAATATACTGAGTCACATCACAACATACCTTCCAAAAAGGTGATGACTCTGTCACTGCTATTGAAAATGCAGAATATTTTTAAAATTATCATTGACTTACAATTTCCACGAGTGGTTCAGTGCACCTCAGGTAACCCAAAAGGGTGAAATAGGGTAGCCTACCATTGGAATTCAGCAATCTTCTATCACACAGAATATACTGGGGATGAGGGTAAAGAAATGCTGAAAATTAACCCCTGAGCTGGCACTTCCACACCATTATAGGGATGCTAATAACTACATTTATAGAAAAACACAGCAGTTGCAGTTCACAGAGGGTTACTCATAATTCTTGGCCTTGATCCTCAAAGCTAATGCATGCAGGAGGATGCCAGTTCTACCATGAGGCACTGCACTAGCTGCAGGGCTCATCACCATTGAATACTTTGTCTGTTTGGGGATCTTGTTCTGTCAATTTTCATAGGTAGATCCCACTAATCCCTAACTGGTTAAAGTTCTTATTTA